CCTCACGGGGTTCACATCTTTGAGGACTCCAAGCCACATTATATCCATGGTTCCTCATCTTTGTGCACAGCTTTGTTGATTTAGTGAGTTGAGTCGTTCTTCAGAAGTCCCCCAGCCTTCTTTCTACCTTTCCTGTCTGGACTCTAATCCATCCTTCATTTTGAAGGCATCTAGTCCCTTAGGGCACCCCAGCTGGCCTCTCCAGGACTAAATCTAACTGCGTGTGATACTCCGGCCCTAGAATACTTGGGGGCGGGGAAGAGGGGTCTTGGGAGGAGGATTCTGAAGGACAATAACCTCTCTCTAACAAGCCTGTCCATCTGCTTTTGCTTCCGTACATCACTGTCCCCTCCAGTCTTTCTGGGACTTCTGCCTGCCTTAGACTGGATTTGGGATTTATTTCTCCCATGTGTTCATTTGCAATATTTAGACTGTTTGATCTTATTGGTTTTTTACCTCTGCCCTCATTTCTAGCCATGTCAGGATGCTCGTGGGGTCAGTGCCAATCACAGATCTATTAGCTTTCGGCTTAAAGCCTGTGAAGAAATCTCTCCCTCTCTCCCTCTCCCTCTCTCTCTCTCTCTCTCTCTCTCTCTCTCTCTCTCTCACACACACACACACACACACACACACACACATACACACACACAATGGAGAATACTGCATATTCTATATTCTGTATGGTTGTTTTAACTCCTAAGCTTCGGTTGCTGAATGTTCTTTGCTGTGTGGAGGCGGGTGGCTGTTTGTTACCCAACACATAAAATAAAATAAACACAAATCATTTCCCTGCCCCCACCAATCCATAAGTAAGCCTTCTCTGCCCTAGAGATGTCAACACAGAAGGCCCCTTTTAGTCCAGGCTTTCAGCTCTTTTTTTTTTTTTTTGCAAATAAGACAAGGTTAGTATCTAAGTTGCTGGAGCTCATTTGAGAAAAGAAAATTCAAATGGACACCCCCCCCCATAAAAATGGCTTTATTAAAGTGCAAAAATATTCCACCAACTATATTCCCACCATCTGTTTTGTTTCTAATTCTTCTGAAAAGAGCAATCCTGTTTGTCTCAATTGCCTTTGTCCTTTGTAACTGCCTGAGACTGCTCAGGGCTGCTCCTGATCTCCCCTGTCCTCTCTGCTTAATACCAAGGTGAGCGGTCTTCACTTGCAGCCAGCAGCAGGAGAGGAACACCCTGGACCCTGTACTGAGGACTGTATTTAGGGGAATCTGGGTGGCAGAGACTCTATCTTAGTCCCCTGGGGACCATTCCTTATCCTGGTGGCAGCTCTGACGTAGCCTCATCTGATCCCAGAAACATGGGGATTTAGCACCATGGGCCATCTAGTCCAATCCCATCATTCCCCAGCCTAGGCGAAATTCTTTTGGGTTTATTTTATTTCTGTCTTGTACCTACTTATCTGTATACATGCTATAGAATGCAAGCTTCTTGAGAGCAGGGACTCTGGGCTTCTGTGTATGGCCAGTGCCTAGCACAGAACCTGACACACATTAGGTGCTTAATAAATGAACTGAATATGGAGGAGGAAACCAAGGCCCAGAGAGGTAAAGGGACTATAACTTCAGGTCACCGGCAAGAAGGAGCTGAGCCAGGATGGGAGCACCCCTCTCCCAATTCAGTCATCTCCAGGGACTTCCTATGAACTCCAGGATCAAATATAAAATGCCATGTTCCGTTTTCAAAACCCTTCAGAACAAGGCCCCTTCCTACAGTTCTTTCTCTATTTTACTCCCTCCTCCTCTTTTATATAGTCCGTGATCCAGTGACCCCAGCCTCTACCTCCTGACTCCATGTATTTGCATAACCTGTCTCCCATTTATGGAAAGATCTCCCTCCTCACCTCATCTTCTGGCTTCCTCCAAGGCAACTCAAATCCCCGATACTGCTGCTGAAGGCCTTTTCTCATCTTCCCTTTACCCTCCACCCTAGTGCCTAAGACTATATGGCACTGACCCTTTGGCCTCATCAGAACCAATATCCCCAGAGAAGGTGGCAGACCACAGCTACCCTCTGCCACTGCTGCCCTGCCCAGTGCTCCAGTAACTATTTTGCCCCTGCTATAATTCATGTCCTGGTACCCTAGACTCCAGCCATGCTGACCAACTCCTATCCTAACTTCGCAGCCTAGGAAACATGGCACTACCTGTATCCTGGTGGGAGGCTAAGGGAGACGGGAAGAAACTGACTCCTTTCTACCCATGCTTTATACTATACAAGGAGATCCTGAAAATACTCTCAACTTGGGCCCTGGTGCTTAATAAATGCTTATTGATTGTTTGATTGATCACCATTTGACAGATGAGGAAACTGAGTCTCAGAGGCATTGAGTGACTTGTCCATGGTCACCCAACTAGTAAGTACCTGAGGCAGGATCCCAGGCCTCTCCTCAACGTAATTCTCTCCTACTTTTCAAGTCCAGGGCTTCCTGCACCAAATCTTGCCTAAGTTCACACAGCCAGTATGTGTCCCAGCCAAGATTCAGGCTGAGATCTCCTGACTCTAAACCCAACTCTCTTCCTGACTCTGGATGTTGCTTCTCAGATAACAAAGGTTTCCCCTCTAGTTGCAGTGGAAAGGTGCTGAATCTGAATGTGAGGTGCCAGAACAGATAACCCTTGGAGGATTACTGAGTTCACAATACAACATGGGCAATATGATATTGTCTTTCAAGCTGTCCTTTCACCAAAGGGCTCCTTGGGTGATCTTGTGGTGTCTTTGACTTCTTAACTGATGCAGATGCTGACGTAGAAGGGAATAGTTGCCTATGCGGCATCGTTTGGGTTCTCTGAGCAAGGGACAAAATGTCCCAGTCTTCTATGACACCAAGAGACAGAGTTTCTGGGTAATTAATAATCAATGTAATAATTAAGCTAGTTAATAATCGACAAACTGATGGTGAGTGATTTCTCTCAGCAGCCAAAGACCCCCAGTGGAGGTATCTTAAATACCTTTATGAAAGGGAATGCCCCTGACAAGTAAAAATCAGCCCTGATTGGTATGACATCTAATGAGGAGATGGGGCTAGAAGTCTTCAGCTCCTCCTGCTGAGAACCTGGCTTGACGATGTGCCTTAGCTGTCTCCAGCGATCTGGACACAGGAATTCATCTCTATCGAGGCCACCCTGGTTGGTTTTCTCCTTCATGAGTAGGGTCACCCTAAACTCTAATGAAGGGGTACTTGGACAGGGGCTCATTTCCTTCAGGGTAAGAACTGGATTCTGTTTACACTAACAGAAGTAAGATATCCTTGTTGGGTGAGGTCCAGCCCAAGATGGAAGAGCATGTTCCCCAAGGATTAGGGTTCCTCTCAATCAGCCATGTCCTTCAGAGGCTGACCTTCCCCAACAGCTAGGCCTCAATGAAGAAACAGAGGAGAAAAAGCTTGCATACTAATTTAATGATTGGTTATTAATGTAACAGAAAGATAATTTCTCTCACTTATTAGGGAATCAGCTGGCCTAGAAGTCGCTACATAGCCATGCCAGGTGTCCCAGTCAATTCGTATTGACTGTGGAGTATCCCCAGCTTTCACCCTTTCGCCCAGGCTCCCAAGGTTCATGAGGCTGTCCTAAAAGGGTATGCCAATTATAACCCCATCCTTCCAGCCCCTTTTTCTCAGGGGTGGTCCTGCCCCTGAGTGCAAGGCTGGGTTTTAAATCCAAGAGATTTGAACCTACAGACACACCAGGTAATATGAGAGTAAGTAAGATATAAAGTTCTGTAGGTAAAGTGAATGAACTTCAGGACTTAGGGTCAGGAAGACCTGAGTCTGAATCTACCTCAAGGAAATTACTAGCTGTGTGACCCTGAGGAAATCTTAATCTCTCTCAGCTCCTCATCTGGAAAATGGGTATAATAATAGTACCTAACTCACAGGTTGTTGTGAGGATCGAGTGAGATAGATGATCAATGGAAAGTGCTTTGCAAATCTTGGAGGTTATATAAATGCTAACTGTTAGATTGGGCACTTATAATCGGACTGGGGAATCCTTAATGATAATAATAACTCCCATTTCTTTAGCACTTTGGGTGCTCAGATGCTTTCTTTATAACATCTCAGTGAAGTAAGCAGTACACGTATCATTATCCCCATTTTACAGAAGAAAAAAGTGAGACTTAGAGAGGCCCAGGGACTTGCCCAGGTTCATGTGGCTAGGAAGTGGCTAAGCTGGATTCGAACCCAGGTCTTCTGCCTCGAAGTCCAGTACTTTCTTCAGGATTTCATGCTAAATGGACTCATTATGCCTGTCCCCAAACGCTGTGTGTTTATTTTGTCCAGGGGTGGGGAACCTGCTGCCTTGAGGCTGCATGTAGCCTTTTCAGTCCTTAAGTGTGGCCTTTTGACTGAATCCAAATTTTACAGAACAAATCCTTGGTTCTCCACCCCTGGGCCCTAGAACATAACGGGTACTTAATAAATGCCTACAGCTTGGTGGATTCTCCTACACACGAGGTGCCACTTGCCATACTGGCTTACATAGCACAAGCCACAATGGAATTCCTTAGTCCCTAGTCTCTAGGCCTCAGAGAGGCAATAAGGTCCTAGCACACAGCGCTGAATCAATCGAGAACCTGGATTTGAATAGTGACCTTGCCACTTACTACCATGTGACTATGGGGTAAATCTCTACCTTTCTCTGAAGCTCAGCTTAGAGAAGGTTGAACTCCGTGGCCTCTGAGGCCCTTCCAGCTCTAAATCTATAAGCCTAAGATCCTGGATCAAATATAAACTCCTTGAAGCCGGGGATTCTTATTTTTGTTTTTGTATTCTCGGTGCCTATCACAATGCCTGGCACACAGTAGCTGCTTAATACATGCTTATGAGTGATCAACCTATCATTCTGTATTCTTAAAAAATAAATAGGATCTGGTTGCTATTCCCTTAGTTTCTTCTCCATAACAATTGTCCAGCAGAACGATTTGGGGCAGAAAGTGAATCTTATGTTTCTCTCCTCTACTATATCTGTCCTCTCGCACTCCACAGGACAGGACGAGGCCAGCAGCGTGGAGGTGACATGGCCAGATGGTAGGGTTGTGAGCCGAGGGGTAGCCAGCAACGAGACTAACTCTGTGCTGGAGATCCCCTACCCCCGAGAGGAAGACGGGCCGCTCAAACCGGCGACACTGGAGGTGGGCAGAGGTTCTAGGCCCCACCTTCCCTAGAAGGCACTACTCACAGCCCCATAGAAGGGAATCCAGAGATGGTGGGCCCATAGCTAAAGTGGATGCTCAGTTCTTGTATCCGAGCTATCCTAGCCCCAGAATGAGCAAGCTTTCCTAGCAGGGACCTCTTGTGACCTTCAGAACTGAGACGAAACTTCTTAGCAAAATGTAGGGCTCCCGGTAGCTCCTCCCTTGCCTATGAGGGCAGCACTTCTGACCCTCTTGGCCTCTGAGCTGCAGCTGTGAGGTAGTAGCCTTGGGTATCCCTCCTTCAAGTCTCCCCAGCACCACAGGCTGGGGGGGTGGCCAAAGGAGGAAGAGGAAAGCCTAAAAGTTGGGTCTCCTAATTCTGGCTCACAGATTCCACTATGGAGAAGGGGAAAGAGCAGGAGCTTGAGGTATCCACAGTTGGGCTCCTGAATCCCTTTTGGTCTAAGTACAAGGGAGCAAAAGACCTGGGAAAGAGGGAAGAGGCTGCCTTCAGGGCACTGGATCTGAGCTCAGCTTCCACTTGATCCGGGGTGTGGATGGCAACTGCTTTGGTGCTGTGACCACAGAGGGACTGGGACAGGGTCATCGAGGCTCACTGGTATCTCTACTTCCTCCCACCATGCAGTGCGGCCAAGGATTCTCCCAGCAAGACAACGGACGGTGCATGGGTGAGTTGCTAACAGGGCCCACGTGTCGGAGGATTGGGGAAAGGAGTGACCATGGAGCAGCTTCTAGGGAAATAAAACATAAGGCCCTGTCCAGGAGTTCAAGAGAGAAGGGGTGGGAAGGACCTTGAGGAATGTGATATTAGAGGAAAAACAAATCCATGACAGAAAGAACAAATTGATGCCTTAACTGAAACACATCTTGGCATTCAGGTTCAAACCAAGCAAATGTTTATTGATTATCTACTGTGGGGACACAAAAATGGATATGAAACAGACCTTTTTCTCAATATGTTTACAGTTCAATGGTGAGAGGTAGAAGACAACATCTACATTTTAAATAACCATGTTACAAGGGAGATTCACTAGATGTGTGACCCTGAGCAAGTCACTTAATTCTGTTTGCCTCAGTTTCCTTATCTGTAAAATGAGCTGGAGAAGAAAATGGCAAACCCAGTAGGGTCATGGAGAGTTAGACACAATTGAACAACAACAAAAGTCAAATGTAAAGGAAGGGTCTGGACAAAGTGCTTTGAAAAACTTTCAGGAGCAGGAAGGAGAGATCCCTACAGAAAGGCTATGTAGAAAGGAATTAGCAAGGGAGGCTGTGGATGGCATAGTCTGGTCCAATAGTTTGATAGAGTGTCACCATCCTGCACTGGAAATGACCAGCCTTCGCCCAGCTGCTCATGTGGGCTCTCATAGACTTCGGGCTGGAAGGGACCTTAGAGATCACCTAGTCTAGCTCCCTCCATTTATAATTGAAGAAAGCGAGTCCCAGAAAGGCCAAGGGTCACACCAGTGGCAGGTGGCAGAGCTGCTGCAATTTGAGACCAGGTCTTCCACCTCAAACCAGGAGCAGCCTGCCTATGGCGAGCAGAATTCAGTGCATGCAGTTCAGTAAGCATTTAAACACGTATCATGGCAGGCATTGTTCTAGGTGCTAGGCTTCTGGGCTGGGCATCATAAGGGAGCATTGGCCATATGCCAATGGGACACCTTGCAAGGTAACCCACAGGGCAGTTGAGTGATGAGATGGGTAGTCAAGGCCACCCTGAGATGGGATGACAGTATGGGGTGGTGGACATGCCATGGCTGTAGTTGATGGCTGGGGGGCATTTGTAAAAATGAAGAAGCCAGCAGTAACATTCAGACTCCCGGTGTTTGCCAAGGTCTTCCAACAGAAACTTGGCAGCTTAGGATGCCTTGTAGAGTTCTTCCCATGCAGTCGACACTCCAGAATTGTTTTTCCATTAGGATGATTGGCAGGGAGAAGGTGCCCAGCCTGGGAAGAATTTTTATTCACCGGTTCCTTCAGCTAGCATACATCTGGTCTGCTGAGTGAGTGCTTCCTCTCTTCCTTTTCAGACACTGATGAGTGTATCCAGTTCCCATTTGTGTGTCCCCGGGACAAGCCAGTCTGCATCAACACTTACGGAAGCTACAGATGTCGAACAAACAAAAGGTGTAGCCGTGGCTATGAGCCCAATGAGGATGGCACAGCTTGTGTGGGTGAGTGGAAGACAGTGAGAGTCCTAGAGGCAGCCCAAGAACACGGGGAGGGTGGTATGGGCCAAATAAAATCATATTGATTCCCTTAGGTTTGGGCATCCCTCATATACGGGAATGCTGTCCCTCAGCTTTCCTATCAGTTTGAAAAGATAAATTGAGGGTTCCCTAGATAATACTCCCATACAAAGTAGTGAAGCGTCCATCTCCTAGAGAAGTCATTGTCCCCTTGCCCTGTGCTGAGAAGCCATACACACACACACACACACACACACACACACATGCATGCATGCACATGTACACACGCAAGCACATACATGCAAGCACACGTACACACACACACTTTTTGACACTTTTTGTTTTAATGGGGAGCCCAATGTGCATTGGGCCCAGCTTGTAACTGAAGAGTTACAATTCTCTTGCACTCATATCTTCCTTAGACTAATGCTCCTGTCATTAAGTCAGTGATCCTCTTCCTACCTGGGAAATAGATTAGCTCTTGTTAACTTCTGTCTGAATTGGCATTTCGCTTCTTCCTCCCCTCCTCCTCCTCTTCCATCTCTCCCTTTATCTCTGTCTTGTTTTTTTTTCTCTCCCATTCCTTCTGCAGCTCAAGTGGCCTTTCTAGGTGGATACCCCTCTGCCGCCATCAGAATCTCTGAGTCTCCCTCTCAGGCCTCCTTTCTTTTTCTAGGCCTTGGACTTTGTCTTCAGTTATATGCACTTTAATTCCCATCAATAAAGAAAGACTAACAACCTTTGTGGAACTGAATCTCTCTCCCTCTGCCTGTTTCTCTGTCCACCCCCCCAGTAGATACTGCAGTGTTCCCTCAGAGTCATTGAATGGACAGCAGGGTCGCCATCTTTGAAAAGGGAAAGGGAAGTTATGGATATTTTTGTAAACAGAGTTGTTTGTGAATCCTTTCTTTGCATGTTTTCTGAGAAAACAGAAGGAGAAAATGCTCCCTCCCTCCCTTCCAAAACAGCCATGACAGTCCTCGTTCATCTGTATCAGCCTGTGTCGTAACCTTTCTCTCGTTTGCTATTATTTTGCCCTTAGCAAAGATGGCTCCCAGATGGTTGCTTGCTTCGTTATAATGTACCATGTGCCTGCTGGTTTGGCCTGTGCCGTTTCTTCTTTGCCCACCCTGACTCCCTGGAATGGAGAACACCTTCTTGAGGGGATGGTGCTGGTGGAGGTGGTGATAGTGGCAATGAGAGTGGGGGTGGTGGTGGATAGGGTTTCTTGATGAAAATGTTAACATTTGAATCAGCTAAGTCTTCCAGCCCCTCCCTCAGAGAACTTATGCCAATAAACTGTATGCTGGATATTAGCGGTGAGCTGGTGGAATTCCTCTGGGGCAATCAATATATGGTGCTTGAAACACTGTCACCCGCTTTGCGTCTACACCACGCGTTTCACCCCAAATTCCATCCTCTGAATGATCACGGGATGCCATCCTCTCCGTAATACTTTACAGTGGAGCCAAGTGAAGGAATAGAGAAAATGTCACACCCAGGTCAGATGGCGACACTAAGAATGAGCAATACACAAGTAGCATACCAGCCACACAGGTCACTCACCAGCCTGGAGTTCTAGACCTGGCTTAGCTTTGGGTTCCAGACGTGGCTCGGCCCCAACTTATGGAAAGAATATGGGAAGTCTCACCTCCCTTCTCTGGGCCCCAGTTTCTCTCTCTGTGAAATGGTAGGTTGTGCGAGGTATTCTTCAAAGTCCCTTCAAGCTCTAATCGTCTATAATTTTTTGACCAAGTAGGCAGGCCAACAAATTTCCAGATGCCAACTGGGCCCCACTGAGCACAAACAATAGTGGCAATCTGGGTGCAGACTAGCATGTGCCTCTTCTGGGAAGCTGGGGTTCAGTCTAAGGAAAGGGGTTATAGAATGAGGAGATCATTTCCATTCAACATTTTCCTGATGTCCTGGTCCTCTTCAAGAATGAAGGACAACCACAACTACAAAGCACCTACTATGAGCAAGGGTTGGTCTGGGCAGTAAGTTTATAGGGCTTTTCCCTAGGGGAGGTGAGCAAGTAGGAATACAACTCTGGCCCCCCTAGTTTTTAGAAAAAGCCTCACCGCAGATTTCTCTACTCGACATTTGGGGATGCCTTCTGGGGCTGGACCGAACACACAGAATACTTTAATAATAAGTCTTCGTAGTGAAAATTGCCATTACCTCTCATTAAATTCCAGATATCTTCTGGGAGGGGGGGGGAAGAATACAGTGCCCCAAGATATAATAAAATCACACTTAGAAATGCAGTAAACCTTTTAAAAATCACCTGTTTAAAGGAGAGCTGCAATTTTCTGATATTATAATAATGATACTCAAGATAAACAATAAAATGTGAATCCCTAATAGGAGCAGCTATTTTTATATTTGCAAGAGGTGTTTGAATTACAAATCTAAAGCAAAAAAACGAAAACAAAAACAAAACCACAGCTTAACTAAACAGCATATAATGGGCTTCAAAAAGGCTTTCATTAAGGTACTTCTGCCTAGACATGGGTGTTGGAGAAGGGAACTTAGACCTTAGTGTCAAACCTTCTCTTCCAAACCCCTCATTTTACATATGAGGAAACAGAGGCCCAGAAATGACTTGCTCAAGGTCACACACTTGGAAGAACCAAGATGAAAGCCCATGTCTTCTGCCTGCCAAGCCAATCCATGAGATGCAGCCTCCCTTGATATTGGACTCTATCTCTTTGGGAAGCTATTACCTCTTTAGGAAGGAGTGGGTTAATTGGAGGCTAGGGGTCTGGGAAACACACAAATTCAACAATTCACACAATTCATAATGTGGCCATGCCCAGAGACTCAAGATCATGTTAGCTAGAGCCCACACAGCACTAAATTGCAATGCTATCAGACATTTCTTGGATACTAACTCCGACAACAAAGCCCCAAAGTAAACGGGCAGTTCATTTGTTGAAACCCACTGACTGCCAAGAGGACCAGAAATCTCAGTAAAGTAAGTCTCCATGCAGTCTAAGCAGTCACATTAGGTTTCTGATTTAGATAAGGAACAGATGTAATAGCACATGTTTGAACGTCAAGTGTCTTTATAATGAGGTCTTCCTGTGTCCTTTTGAGGGTGGGGCCAGCTGACATCCATAGAATTATTCCTGGCCCCACTACAGTCCACAAGTAGATACCGATGTGCAGTACCAATGGCCGGAGACCACACTGCCTTTTCTCAGACTGGGTGCTTTGACAGGATCAGATGTATGAGGTTGGCTGGTGACTGCCACTCCAAGTCGGAGGTGAGGGCCAGCATGTTTGTCATTATTATTGAAAGGACATGTTTAGCACCTGTCAGCAAGGGGTGGGGGTCAGTCAGGTGGGGGTGAGAAAGCTGAATTCTGCTCCTTCAAAAACGTTCAACGTGCCTCCTCCCCTTGCGTGTTTACTTTCTAAGCTCAACAGCATGGGCAGAAACAGATGAGCAGACTGCTAGACAAATACCGAACCGCAGCAATAAATATGTAAACCATCTTATGCAAGTTTTGTGTTTATAGCTGCCGAGGAGAACTGTTATTTCCCATTCTAGGGGGCCTCCCTCCCTCATAGAGTTTGGCCGTGCTTAATTTCTGCAGAATCATGGAGGAGGGTGAATTGAGGGCTCCTACCCTTGACCTTCCCATGCCCTACTTCACTAGCAGCCCCACTCTGGGGAAGGGGCCACCCTCCTGGGGCCAGGAGCTGTGTCGAGCTTCACTCAGCCTGCCAGTGCCCCCTCTGAGGTCTAACACATCACACAGATCCAAACGGCTGGTCTGATGCAGCCAAGCAGAAAATCCAGTTCTCTGCTCCAAACAGGGGCTTTGTTCATCTTTCCAGAACCATGCTGAAGCAGGAGACAGAACATTTAATCTTCTCAGGAAACAGGCTGCATCTTTCCAAGCAGATTCCACGCTCACACGAGCGCAAGCCCAACCCAGACGCTTGGCTAGGATGACAAGCAGAATCCCACCCTCCCAAGGGTCACCTTCTATCTCTTACCACCATAGTGTGGACTCGGGCCCCAGCCTGGATCTATCAGGAGGATATAGCGGTGTCTCCTTGGTAACTAGCTCATCCTGCAAATAGAGAGGGGGAGGGAAGTGGGAGGGAGAGAGTGAATGGGGGTCAGTGAACTCCACAGATAATCTGAAACTTCACCTCAATCTTCTTCCATGAAACCTTTATAAGGTGACTAAGTTGTTCCAACTCCTTGCCCTCTGAAGGAAGTGCTGTCGAGCTGTGAATTGGCCAAAAGGTCAACAAAAGAAGAGTGGACTCATTGCAACGGACACATCTTATAGGATTACAGCATTTTAGAGGGCATCTAGTTCAACACCTATCTAACTGAATATTGGGAGAATCAATAATACCTTGCTTCTGAAATGCTGTAATTTCAATGGAGAAAGGTACTCAAGAGTTAGCCAGCCCTTATTTATTCAGTCATGTCTGACCCCATTTAAGATTTTCTTGGCAGGGACACTGGAGTGGTTTACCATTTCCTTCTCCAGCTTATTTTAAAGATGAGGAAATTGAGGCAAACAGGGTTAAGTGACTTGCTTAGGGTCACACAGCTAGTAAGTGTCTGAGGCCAGATTTGAACTCAGGCCTTTCTGACTCCAGGCGTAGTGCTCTATCCACTGAGCCACCTAGCTGCCTATTTTGTTGAACAAAAGCAAGATCTGAACTCATTTTCCCTGGTTTACAAGACCAGTGCTGTAACACCTGAGCTTTGAAGCCATATAGGCTAGCGCTAAACTGTTTTCGAGATACAATGATAGATTAGGCATGGTCCCTGCTTTCAAGGAACTTAAAATTTAATTCAACCTTTGCCTCACGGAGTAGGGGAGCAACTGTGGGTAGCAGATAGAGAAATGGCCCCAGAGCGACAGACATGGGTTTATGTCATCCCTCTGACCCATTCTGGCTATAAGACTTGACCTGAGCACATCCCTCTAGTATTCCAGGTAACTCCAAGACTTTTCAGTTTTAGAAAAGGTGCTGACTAGCTTTGGTAGAGGAGTTTGCTTATCTAAGAACTGCTTTTCTATCGGTACAATCACAGGGCCATTCCTTATCCCTATCCCCATCTGACCTGAGTGTTAGGAGAATCTAGAGGAAGGGAAGAGGGGAATGAGACAATTGTTCAGATAAACACAGTACAAATTAGGACATGATACTTGCACCAGACAAGGAATCAGGGGAGGAAGCATTTAATCTAGGCCTCAAAGAACTCATATTCTCCCAACAGCCCAGGGAGGCAGGGAACCAGAAGGAAAGGATCAGTCCCTTAGCTATACCGCCCTCAAGAGGAGAATAGACTTATCCAACAGACTCACATCCTCAGACCAGAAACGTCCAGGGCACTCCCAACTTTCCCCACATGTTTCTATGCCAGGAATAGTAAGGTTCTGGACACAGAGCAGTAAACTCAGTCATTTCCTCCTCCATCCAACTCTTGTCTCCCACCAACTAATGGGACAGACAGCCTGTGATCCAGTTTTAGCATCTGCTTTGTTCTGATTCCTGAGGCACTTGGTGATGGACTTAACATCCCTTCCCCAAGCTTCGCTGACTTGCCACTTGGTGCACCATCCCTGGGGGATGAGGTGAGCTGGCAGTGCATAGATTAGTTCTCAAATTCTCCAGAAAAAGAATCTTCATTAAGTAATGAGGAGGAGGGCCGGAAGGCAATGTCTGATAGAATGAAGCTCTCAAAGGGGCAGGCATCTGCTAGAGCAGCTGGGC